ATCATCCTTAAACAAAAATCCAAATAAAAATGGCTTCTTTTTTCTCTCTCTCTAGGGTTTCGAAATCCCCCAAAATTTAGTGCTCCCCCTTTGTAATGCGAGCGATTTCTTGCTCCAGCTCACGAATCAAAGCTAGAATTTGCTCGCTCGGGACGTAGGGTTCGTTCTGGACCGTGAGATTCGAAGTGAGCCTCGTGAAAATTTGGGGGAAAACTCGTTCAGGTATGGAAACAATTAATGGAGAAAACAAGGCCAAGAGCAGGACGCATATATATTTGAATATTTACGATCTGACGCCAGTTAACAATTACCTCTATTGGTTTGGATTTGGGATCTTTCACTCTGGGATTGAAGGTAAATTCGGTTTATTTTAATGAATCTTTTAAGTATATATATTTTTTGTGTTCAATTGTTGATTAAAAGGCATCTGAATGTAAAAATTGTTTGTTAGTGGTATTATTATTATTGTTATTATTATTATGTAGATTTGATTGAGTGCATTTATGGAAGTTGTATGATCTAATTCTTACCTTCCAATTTTTTTTTTTTTTGGTTAAGCAGTAGGCTCGGCACCTGTTAAACTTAATTTGAAGGATGTGGGAGAATTTTACTTGGAAAATTTTATTTTTGGAACATCTTGGGTTGCATATGCATGTGTTTGTTAGTTATAAATGCATAAATAATTTGGGCTTAGGACTATTAATCATAAGCTCTAAGCAGCATCTGTAGATTGTTAGAATCTAAAAGGACCTTCCACTTAGATGAGATCTTCTATTATAACTAGAGAAGATATGTTTCGTATTACAGGAGATCAAATTACAAAATTATCCCTATTATCACGAATGAAAGTCGGCGCCCTATGTTTTAAAGTAAATAAGTGAATATTATAAATAACCATGAAAGTAGATATTTGATTGAATTAGGAAGGAAAATTAGAACCTCATAGTTAGTACTAGGGGAACGAGCATATTACGTTATAAATTTTCAAACTGGAGATCACATTTTAACTAGTGAAAATTTCAAAATCTAGTATTAAGGGAATTACTCTTATCTATTCTCCCTTAATTAAGAGAAAGAACGGAATTCACTTTTGCAAGATGACATTTTTTTTCTGGTTAAGGCTGTCAAAGGAACGCTTGGAGAAGGTATTGATTATTTAATGTGATGTTCATGTTTCTGAATGAGTTACATTTGGTTCAATGAGCGGTTACGGTTCTATTACCAGTCCTAGAAAAATGAATTGCTAACTATCTGGGTGTTGGCAATGCATTTAGCTGGAGTCAATGAGCCTTTATTTTCTTTTGGATAATAGCTATTACAGTGCATAATTGCTTTTCAGTGGAGGATCCTTGCTTTGGCATGGGATATATTAGAGGTAAACAATGGATAATGTTACAACGTGAGACGGTTCTCATTTTAGTTTCTTGACGAACTTACTTTCGCATGCATCACGGGGACACTTCAGTTGGATGAACTCAGAGACCTAAAATATGAAATGACCACTGTTCTTTATTAGAGTTCCTATGAGGCAAAAGATCTTTTTTTAAGTTTTTTTTTTTCCGCTGCTGCTTTGAGATTTGATGTACAGAATTCGTATTCTTCTAATAAGGCTGGTGGTCTTCATTTAGAAGATAATGGAATCTTGTGCCATCAAGCAAAAAACTTAACTAAAGGTTTTCATTTGTTGGAGAAACCCATCATATCATACTTCATAATTCATAGTACATACTTATTTCTAGAGAATTGAAAGTATTCCTTTTGAAGTTGTCCTATCTCTTCTATCCTTTTTGTTGATGCTTCATGTTTGTGTATTTGAATGTTTAAACAGTATACGGCATGGAATATGGCTTTGGAGCGCACGAGTACCCGACCAGTGGGGTTTTTGAGGTGGAACCAAAAAACTGCCCTGGTTTTATCTTCAGACGTTCTTTGTGGCTTGGCACCACCGACATGTCACATCCAGAGTTCCGGCAGTTCATTGAACATCTTTCTGGAAAATATACCGGTGATAGCTACCATTTGATTGCTAAAAATTGCAACCATTTTACCGATGATGTTTGCATGCGCTTGACTGGAAAGCCCATTCCTGGATGGGTAAATCGGCTTGCAAAATTAGGCAAGACCCCTTTATAAATTTTATTTCTAGCTGCCTTCAGCTGTTGCCAGATTGATTGATATAGATCTTTTTCAAGTAGCAGGTTCATTTTGCAACTGCCTTCTACCAGAAAATATTCAGGTTGCAGCAGTAAGGCATTCTCCAGAGCACTTGGAGCTGTCTGGTAAACTTTACTCCGAATGTGATTTTATTTGCACACACTTTTTCGAAGTTCCAAAAGCATGCAAGTGCGATATCTATTTGCAAGCAAGTCACAATTTATGATTATGAACAAGAAAATGTTTAGCTGTTGATTCGCTTTTTTGCAAAAATTTACAGATGGGTCTGAGTCTATAGCTTCATCATCGATGGAAGAAAGTGATGACGATGATGAGGATGGGCGTCAACACCTGCTACCAGCACCTCGTAGTGAGCCATCAAGTGCCAGAGAAAAACCTGTGAAACTCGCAAGAGATCTTCTCACCAGTGAGGTTCGCTAGAGATCTCCTTTAAAGTTTTGACTTGTCTAATGTCTACGAACAGAGAGAGACAAATTATTCAGGCCTGATCTTGTGCTGGTTGCTGATGGCCTTCCTCAAGTGCGTGCAGTTGTACCAGTAGTAAAAATTGTACCGTTGGTTTTTAATGTTGTAGGAGGCCGAGCTCTCACTAGGAATACATACTTGTTCAACTGTCGCTTGGCACCAATTATTAGTGTGATCTCCATTCTTTTCCATTCTAAATTTGTGAATGTATGTAACTGACATCGAGAGTAATATATCGGTTTGTGGGCTGATGAGTCATGATTGAAAAATAGAATCTAATTTCGAAAACTACTGATGGTCTTGTAATCATATAGCGGAATATGACTTTTGCTCAAAAGGAACAGCTGTGCTACCATGCAAACAGAAGGGAGATGCTACAACAGCTATGCTACTATTTACAACATCATGTAATTCCTATTCTTGCTGCTGAAAAACTATCCGATCTGAACGCAACTCTTGCTCTCTTTTGCAAAAAAAAAAAAAAAAAAATCTTTAGCATTTAACCAAACATCCAAACAAAAATGTAAATTGAATTCTGTATGTAATTGGACACCATTAGACTCTTACTACTACTATTCAAAGACAACACACCCTTCATGTTTTGGGAGTATCAAACATTATCAGACCTAGAAGAAGTGAAATGCAACGCCAAACCAGAAAACTTCATGATAGGGCACTTCGCAAGAGTAGCTAATGGAAACACCCACTATTAGATCATAATTATGCGGATGATATTCATTTTCTTTGTATTATTAAGTCTTCAGGTTTCATTTACAGAATTATTACACTTAAATCGTATATAAGGCCTGGAAAAAAAATCAAGAACACTAGGCAGTTTATTCAGCGACCTAGAGTTACAGAAGGATTTGCTCGGTCTCCCCATGATAATCGGTATGTATTTCTAATTAGAATCTAAAAATGGCATATTTAGCCAAAATCCAGTATCATTGCTTCGAGCTACCTCTTAAGTGAGAAAATGATCGATCATGTGCTGTATAACATCTGCACCTTCTGACTGCATATATGCATATTTAACCTGTTGATGGAAATATTAGCGTTATTAGCTCATGGTGCTCATCCCATGTATAGAGCTCAAAGTAATTGACAAATATTGATCTCCTAATGACCTGAATGACACTGTGGGCAGCAAATCTCTGTCTGCTACTGTGAAAACTAACATCTACTTTTTCCCATGACACCCTTGAGAGGCCTGTCACCAGTTCCTCTGTAATAAATCAAAATCCAAATTAGTAACGTTACCAACTTTTCCATTTAAAGGAAAATATTTCAACTTTGAAGAATTATACTAGTTAAGTTAGAACTGGGTTTCTTCTATTTGAAGATGTTGGTCTATATCGAAATACTAAAGTAGTTAGGACAGGACCTACAAATTTATTTTATCCAAAGACTTCTCATGCATTTGTTTTATTTAAATTAGGATCAGAAATACTAAATTTATTCCAAATTTTCAATTTTCTTAATGACTTATAAATATAGATAATCGAATGACATCCTTCCAAAGGATCTTAAGGTACTATTTTATATAATTGCAGTAATACATTTTTCTTTTTCCAAAGGGACAAGGATTACAGTGATAAAGCACAAAATATTATCAAAGATTTATAGGAACAACAATGCAACCAGATCCTGCTCAAACTACTTCTGGATCAAAGTTAGCAAATAAAATGATTTAAAAACCCCTCAAAGTGCCAGGTAAAATCAATTACCTTCTAATACATCAGAGTCACCACTTGTGTCTAAGGCTTCTTCACATTTATCAACATTGACTCCTTTTGTATGTTCTACGTAAACGACATGTGGATATTCCTCACTTACAGAATCCTCCCACTACATTAAAAAAACAGAAAAATATATGCAAATATAAAACTACTGAATTGCTGTAAAAGAAGACAAGGCAAAAATCTCAGATAACAAGTAACAGAAGACAAGAAGGCAATCCATGAAAATAAAAGATTAATACAAGACTACCGTTGGCAGCTCGGTATTGCGTCTTATAGATGATGTTCTCCATCCTACAATATCTTTATGACATTTAAATCAAGGAGACACTTGATAGTTGTAAAAGTGTACTCTAGAGAAATTATGATGCCAAACATTGTATAGTCAAAAATACTTTGAAAGGATACGATCATAACCAACATTTGCATATGCCACTCGTCGTTTGAATGCTCGTAGAGCAGACCTGTATGCAAGTAGTCCCGTACTAGAATATTAGACAGTCATGAAGCAACTAAAACAACAAAAAAGGTAAATGCCTAATATTTTTATGCATTTAGCTCATTAATATCAAGTAAAATAAATGAAGCGCACATGAAATATAGGTCCCCATGATCATCCACCATGCGCTGCAAAAGTGGAGGTTTTCCTTCATCATTATCAGTAAGAAAGAGATGCCTTCCTGTTCTTCTAAATATCCAATGAATGACCGAAGCAGCAACCTTTTCAATAGCAGTGAAACCAAAAAGAAATGGAACCTGCACATTGAATTTTATGTTTAAGTACATTTGTACAATGTTACAGGTGTGAAAATAACAAAATATTAGTCAGACCAACAATTCAATGTTTATATCAGCAACAAGTAAAGGAAGTAGCAACTGGCAAATTTTGGGGAAATTACATATTCAAGATTGACATAACTATTTTTAACATTAATCTGAAAAAGAACCCTTGACGGAAATCAATACTACACTGTCAAAGATAAAGAATGAATATGAGAATGTTACTGAGCTGAGTGATTACTTAAGTATGAGACATCTCCATGATTATTAGAGCAGTGTATAGTTCAGAGAAAAAATAAATAAATAAAGACGAATAACTGTTTGTTACCCCTAAAACCAAGATGTGTAGCAACAGTGATAAGTACCTGTTTATTACCCCTAGAACCAAGATGGGGTGTAGCAACAGTAATAAAATTCATTGCTTCAAGACCACAAATGGTCCCACTTGAATTGTCTCTATCATGAGCATCATCTCGGGAGTTGCCTGAGAGTTCATCACTAGGAGGTCTATAAAGTCTACCAATTGCATATCTTGCAACCAAGCCACCAACGGAGTGCGCAATGATAGAAATTTTTCTCAGCCCAGGTCTTCTATTGATGACTTCCACCACCTATAATATGTTTTGTCAAGGCTGGACAAGAAAAAAGCTGGGGCAACAATAAAACCCTTGTTGCCACCAAACGATAAAAGGAATGAAGAAAATATGCTATTTCTTAAGGACAAACGATGATCATTATCTGACAGATGAACTAACCTCTTCTGCCAACCGCTCACCCATAACGTCAACACCATCCAACGTCAGTCTACGCATGTTGCATTCACTACCTGAAAGCATTACATATCTTAATGTCTCTTATGGTTTGAAATAGCAGCACTTTCGTAGCATCATTCTTACTATACCATAAAAATGTACAGTATTTTTTTAAAAGGTAAGACCTGAAGCAATATCGTAAATGATGTAGAGTAAGTAGCTTTGTAAAGGCGAAAAGGTAAACGGAGCAATAAGTACTTCAAATTTTAGGTGCTTAATGTTTTGCATGAGCTCATAAAACATTATGAGAATGGAATGATGATGCTGATGACGAAAATGATAATGATTTCAATCTTTTCCCACAAAATGGGGTTGGCTCTTAAGTGCTCTATAATGAGCAGGCTCCATGCGAACATAACAAAGATTTAGATCTAGATCTTAATTAATAAGTGCCAGATACCCAAACATTTTGATAAATTCAAATAACCAAATAAGTATGCATAATTGAAAGGTGATTAAATCAAATATATTCAATCTAAATCTGACCTAATTAAGATTTTTGATCTTTCCACGAGCAAGAAACGTGGATAACGACTTGCCAGATATTGCTAAGTTTATTGCATACATTACATGTTATGAGCCCCATTAGAAATAGAAGAGGATGAAGCTTCTTTGTGAACAGTCACCAGAACAATGACAAAAGATGTGATACGGTTAGTTATGTAAAGTAATTATAGTGTGAGCACAATTTGTTTTGTTTGGGATAATTGTCAGCATAATTATTATATGATGAAATTAAAACTCTTGCTGGTCATTACGACATTAGTTTCAGACCCATGCAAGGCATGGATTTGTCTTGTATGATAGCTTATCTAACATGGAAGAGTCAAGTCTTACCCAAATTGACAGACGTTGATCCTACAATATTAAACTAGACAAAACACGGGAGTTCACTACTGCACTCTTAGAGAAATGCTACTGCTTATTTGGTTTTGGAAATGATGGGAGCTTGATGCGCATTTCACGATAAGGAAAATGCAAGACCATAAAGATTTTATAATGCATATGACATTTTGAATGGCATCACCATAATAGGTCTGCAAAAAAAATAAAAATAAGAATTCAAGTGCTAACACATGCACATCATATCACTGGAAGGGCTGTCAAATTAAAAGAGAAAGAAGGTGAACACAAAGAAGGAATATCTAGTAAGTATAACTTACAATGGACTATCACTTTGTCAGGAAGAGCTTTAATAAATTGGTTAGCTCCATATTGCCAGTCTGCAGTACTGCAATGAGGAGGTATACTTTTAACACTTACAGCAGTAAAGGTAAGTAAAGCAGAGGACTAGAACAATGCAAAATAAAATATGCACAACTTGCAAACAACAATCAAATTGAAGTAGCGATGTAAGCAGCAAAATACCCATTTCTGAGATCCCACCTCAACTTTTGACAAATATTTTTAGCATAACTAATACTTAAACAATTCGTAACTTCCGAGAATACTCATAGTACATTGCATGAAGCAAATGTGTCTTTGGGCATCTAATCTCAGTGACTATATCTGAGAATATCATTTTCTCTCCGAATCTTTTAATTGGCACTCATATATTATCAACCTGAAAGAAGATTATTTAACGCTTGTATATAATACTAGAACCAAATCAAGATACATATAGAGATAAAGGGGATTAATAATTGCTGCACTCTAAGAACAAAAGTTTTAATAATTGAACTATTTTATATAAAGTAACTGCATTTTAACGATTAGATACTGTATCGCTCTGATTACTGTTTTAACACAATTTCAGCTAACATTGTCATTGCACAAAAATTCCCCTATAATTCATTTTTCTCTCATAAAAATCCAAATTCTCCCAATCAAACCCCAACCTTTAAGCAAATTACACAATCAACACCCCAATTCGAGACCAAACTTCGATTACGCCACGAATTTAACAATTCAAACCCTGGAAAAGTTCAAAACTTTACCTTCCAAGGATTCCATGGACCATCACAACGAGATGACCAGCACAATAGGCAGAATCGTCTGAAGAGCTCAGGACGTCCGTACCTCCATTAACGGACTCCTCCGATCTCACTTCTTCGTCTCCCATTAGAGATTAAAAAATCGTAAAAAAAAAAAGAAAAATTCACGATAAATTGAGCGCAGGCGAGAAGAAAGTGAATAAATAAATGAAAAGGATATATAGGTGAGGAATAAGACAGGGACAATTAATGGGGCTTGGTGGGCCCACAATTATTTCCAAGGTTTTTTTAAACTTATAAACCGAAATTCTATTCTTATTTGTTTTAACCCAACCAATTCGAAAATCATCATACCCCTACTTTTAAACCCAAAATATCATACTAAATTATTTCAAACGCGAACTCTCATACGAAATTATTTTTAGGCATAATTTGCACTTAAAAACTCAATAGTTTCCCCTACTTTGCACCTAATATAGTACTTATATACCTAAAATTTTTAAAATTTGTACTTGATTGCTCTTAGTCATGCAAACGCAAGTATTTCTACCCGAAAATTCTCATGTGCCGCTCACATCTTAATTTTAGAACTTAATTTACTCTTTTTGTTAAATTTATTGTCAAAATTCTTGTAATTAAGTATTAAACCTGCTCTTATTCTATTTAAAATGTAGTTTTCGTATTTCATTAGTTTTTTATACGATATTTCAAAAAATACAGCAACTTAAATAGAAATACATCAGTTATCATATTGAAGCTTCCAATGACGAGAGAGGCGTTTTCTTTAAAAAAAAATTGGTGGATAAAAATTTCGATTCACGAACTGAATCCCTTTTTCTAATGAGTTAGTAACTCAGAAAAGGCGTGGATGATAAAAGTTTGAGAAAACGATGGGGTTTGGAAATATAATTCTCATAGTTAAACTATTAAAACGAGATATTATGAATATTTTTTCCGGGATAAAAGCAGGGACAGCTGTTCTTACTTTGTATTGAGATTTGGGATAAGAGACTGGTGACACGTGAAGTTTCGGGAACTCGTGTAGCGCTTTCCACTTCAAGAAAATGATTCCCTGTTGGCTGTTGTCATGGGATTAATAATATGAGTTGATCCGTAATATTTCTTAGATTGGGGGACGTACCAGGTTTACTCAATTTAGAAGTAAAGGGCTGTTTGGTTGATGTATTTGTTATTGGGGTTTGGGCAGAAAGTCTGTCAAAAGAGTACTTTTGGCAGGTTTTCTGTCCAAAACGCCTCTAAAAAGAGACGTTTTGGGTAGAAAACCTGTCAAAAGGTAGAAAACCTGCCAAAAGTGCTTTTTTGGCAGGCTTTCTGCCCAACCCCTAATGCCAAATACATCAACCAAACAGTAATAGTTTTCATAGGTTTTTTTTTTCAATTAATTATTTATTCAGCTTGCTTGGCATTAATTGCATCTTCGCACATCATGGGTTGTGCGTCATTATGCTGTTAAAGCCTGTTTAAGTTTTTAGGTTGAGACCGAAATATTAAAATAGCTGTTGATGCGCGTAGTTCAAAATAAACTCTAGCTAGTAGCCCAAGAGGGTCTAGTTAGATTAGTAAACTGCATATAAATAGTACTCTAATGTCTCATGTTCGGCTCTTCTAAAAAGTATCTATACGGATTTAATTTTCTTTGCAATTGGGGTGCTCTTAACCAGGGTTGGAGGTGTAATATCTATGGTCCAAAAGATCGTGGGGGAAGTTCCCTTGTAAACAAAATTTAAAAAAATCTAGTAGAATATTAAATTCATCTTATTTAAAATATAGACTAAATATCAGAAAATATCACCCCCACCCCCAAAAATTCAAAAATATCAGAAAACCCCCTTTTAACTTTAGGGATTATCAAAAACCTCCTTCTCATTTAACTTTGATATTTATGAGAATCGCCCTAAAAATCACGCTTTTAAGAGGTTTTCAGATAAAATTTTAAAGTTAATAGGAGTTTTCTAAAATCTTCAAGTTAATTAAACGGAGATATTCTAACAGTTTACATATTTAAGGAGGGTTTTTTCTGATATTTAGTCTAAAATATATTTAATCTTCTTTATTCAATGGCTCATTTCAAGTCTGTCGGCTATTGGGCTTCTCTAATATGTGTTTGATCTTGACTATATAAAAACTTGAACTGACGATCAAAGTATTTGCATAAAAATCCAACACCATGAACAATTTAAGGAGAAGCTGTCAAGTTTTGGATCGGATCGTAATGGAATCCGCTAACTCATTTATCTATACTATTCTTAAAAAGACATTATGAGGGTAAGTAAAAGTAGAGGAATGAGTAATTATTCTTTCGAGCGGTCAAAGAATAGAAGGTCATTTTAGAAAAAGATGAGGTCAATTTGATTATTTATCATTTTCTTATTCATGTAGGCTTCATCTCTTCCTCCTTGCTTCCCCCATTCTCCTCCATTACTTTTTAAATTTCAATTCCTCATTTTCTATTTTAAATTTAAATTTTATTCTTCTCTTTCCAGAATGTTCCATTTGTTTCATTCCTTCATCTTTTTTTCAAATTTAAAATTTCATGCATGGACTTTTCTAAAATCATATAATTTAAAAAAATCAAAATACAATACAATGTTAGCTAGAAAGTGACATCATCAATGATGATCAATAAACCACAATATAATTTTCAAGCTTAATTTCATTCCTTTTACTAAAACAAAGGATACAATAATAATTTCTTAGACGCATAAAAAAATATAAAATACTGTTTTATATATACAAATCCTTATTATTTTGATCACATGCATTATGCACGTTCATTTTTTTACTAAAAATACTATAAATTCACATCAAATAATTATACACATAATTAACATCTGCAGAACCGAGAATTATGTAGATAGAAGTTTAATACTACTAGTTGTACGTGCCAGTATACTAGTTTGATATAATTCAACTCAAATAATCGAGTACAAGTAATGAATGATTTAAGATTGGGCTTAGACTAAAGAAGGCCTTTTGAACATTCTCATAAGCGGATTGGGCTTACATTAAAGAAGGCCAATGCATTTTTCTCAAAAATAAAAAAGATAGCCTTTACACGGTTGAATCCATAGAACCACCCCTCGTCTCTCTCTCTCTCTCTCTCTCTCTCTCTCTCTCTCTCTCCTCTTAATGGAGACTCTCTAGAACCACTTGAAGGAGAGGTCCGTGTATAAATAAGAAATAGTAAAATTGAAAATTGCGAAATCTGAATATCGATTAAAATTTTTGGTCTTAGCTAATGTAATTTCAATAACACATATCCTTGACGTTTGTGTATACTTTGGCCTCAAATAAAATCATCTGACCTTACGTGTGTGTGAATGATAATCATCTTTATTATTAGGTGTCACGAAACCTTGTCACTGTATCAACACTCTTTTTTAGGGACGAAACATGGATTTGAAGTGGTATCTACTAGCTTAAATTCTCTTTAAATTTCTGCGTAGTATGATTTGAACATGTATCGCTCTCATACTATTTTAACCATAGACCCAAAACTCTAAAGTTATAATGATGATTTGACTATGATTATAATCTACTATTAGGGATGCGAACAAACTTTGAGGATCGATCATGCAAAATCTTCACCCATGTCCTTATACGTATCATGTATAAATATGAATAGCAAAATTTAGAATTTCCGAATTTCAATTATTAATTCAAATCTTTTATCTTAGTTATTTTTTCTGGAAATGGACTTGCAAATTAGGAACACATGTCTTATCCTTAATTACCATGGAATTTCTTTTAAGGGCCTTATTTCTCTTATAACTTTTTCATGAACTGGATATTATCTAATCACTATATTGAAACTTTTTGTTACATAAAAGGTAAAATTGTAACTGTAATTTCCCAAGAACCAAGTAATTAATGCCCTAATGCAAAATCTCTTATATATAATAGCAACAAAATAAAAATACTTAATTGTAATTTTAGCTAAGGCTAAATAACAGAAAACCCCACATGCATCTTTGGAAGATTATTGGATACACCCGATAACTTTAAAACTACTAGAAAACCCTCCTTAAGTATAAAGATTATCAGAAAACTTCTCTTAACTTTAAGACTTTATTAGGAAACCCATTTTAATTTTTAGATTTTATTAGAAACTTGTCCTAAAACCATTGCTTTTAGGAGGATTTCCCGATAAAATCTCAAAATTAAAGAGTGCTTTCTGCTAACCACTAAATTTAAGGGGAATTTTTCTGATATTTTCAAAATTATACAAATTGTTTGATAATCGTTCAAAATTAGCACGTGTGCTGCACCTCAGCAGACTAACTAATATCTTAGAAACCAACGGTCATGAACGACAATAACGGGTACCAATGATTTGAAAAAAATAATAAAATTAAAATAACGCAAAAAATGAACGCAATATCTTGTGAAAAATATGTAGAAAATCTCTATTGTAATTGCTGGATAGTATTATCAGAAAGAAGAAAGTGGATTTATATGCAATTCTTGGAGATGGAGTTGATGCCTATGAAGTAGTAAAAAAGAAAACACTAAAATTAGCTTTTAATTATCTTTATGTTGTTTTTAGCATTTTTAAGAATAATTGATAACTCATTAAAAAAGGAATAAATAATAAACATGGATTTAAACACGTACAATATTGACATTGTTTTTCAGATATACACGTTGATGATCTCTCCCATTAGATAAAAATCCATGGCTAAGGAAGTTCCTAGGGCATAGTTTTTTTTTTTTTTTTCATTTTTGTACGAAATAATCTTTAGCCAAACAATGAAACATACTCATCTTATCTTTTAAAATTATAAAAATTTTGAAATTAATTTGCAGGTGAGGCTCATACATATCATATTATTTTCATTACAAAGAAACAAGAGTCTAGAATGGACATATAGATGTCGGAAAGTTGTAAGTAACCATTTTCATAAAACAATAAAAAAATTAAAAAAAAATAATAAAATGCGGAAATAACTTAAATAGCAAAAAAGGACGACTTTAGCAAATAATAGCTTAAACAATCTTAAGACAAAACTTAGTTGTTGTCACTATATTACATTTTAAATTCTAATTACAAAATATTTATTACAGTTTTCATGTGGGAAGATCCCCACGAGCGCAGCTGTCCATGATGCCCACTTGCTCCTTGCATTATGCTCGAGGTGGTCTTACACGTGTGGCACACTTCTCAATGTAATATTCATAACTCTCAACTCTCCTCGTCATTTAAGAGCTTGGATATAGTGACATATAGACTCTAAAATGATATCATACCGATTTAGGTTTACAGTCCACCGACAATAAATTTAAAACGGGTTTTCTAAAAATTAACATCATTTCATGTATCAAGATTTTGATACATAGAAGGAGTGTTTAATCCGTAAGAATATGTTAGAATATATAAAAGTATAAACTTTAATTCTCATCATAATTTCGAAGCTTTGATGTAATTACTTAGGACTTTAAGATTCTAACATTTATTTTCTCAAATCTGATCCGATCAAAAAAAATTTCTCAAATCTGATCACCAAAATTCTTCAACTTTAATTTTTCTACACAATCAACGGCTAGAAAGAAGCACAAAAAATTTTATGTTTTTTTAATGTAAAGAAGAAACTTCAAGGAAACCTAAGATCCATAGAAATTCCCAATGATTCGGGAATTTCCACCTTTGACCGCAGTCCCACGTGCGCATTGGGCATCTGACCGTCCCATTCGTGTGCGTAGCTGTCGTCCTCGACAATACACGAGGCCTCACATGCTTGTAACTCCCACTTGGATCAAATCCTTGTAGGATTAGCCTTGATGATAACTTTAACTAAGATTAAAGATGCATTATACTACTAACCCCCTTAATGATGGATTTTGGTGTCTTTAAGCAAGTTGGTTCGACAAGATCACGATGGTTAGGGTTTACAAATGCAAGGATGATATGTTGGCTGGGTACGGATCCGACAATGACCTTGAATACAGATAGTAATCACATGATTCGATAATTAACCTACAATCAGAAAAATAGACATACCTGAACTGAACCAAACTGAATAACTGAATCCCGTTGAGACAATCTCACATGGAAGAAAGCCTCGTAAGGGGTTTCAGGATTAGATGTATGTTATCACATGGTAATCATTGTTTAGGGAATTTGAAGGTGTAGATATGATTAATGAGCATGTGGGACAACTATGCAAACAGGCTTATAGGTTACTTAATCATGATTGTTACATGTCAAATTGGCTGGACTAATCATTTTGGTTAGGAGGTTGGCTTAATGGTAACTTGACGTGTAAAAAGAAGTGATGTTGAAATTCGAAGGAAAGATTAATAGGATGTATGATCAGGCTTTAACTGGTTTAGTTGTCTAAATAATTATGAGCTACTGAATCGAATACAACTGAATTGTTAGATAAAGTAATTAAAGAACTATTTATAAGTTACTTGGTTCATTTCCATCCTACTTGTGGTATATGATATATCTTATGCATTTCTATTTAGGTAACTGGGCTTAGACGTGCAATGTCTCATATAATACATCAGTATGACGCTTGATAAATGTTTTGTAGCCTGCAACTTACAGTTTTACAATCAATAGATAAGATGGTCAACTAGCAAGTTGCAATAGCAAATTTACTGTAGAATTAACTACAATGAGACAAATTACAAAATGTACATAGTTTTTTTCTTTTGAAGTAAAAAAATGTACATATTTACAATAAGGGAAAAATGCTTCCAGCCCCCAAAAGCTAAGTGAACGTGCTTCCCACCCCCAAGACTTGGTCAATGGGTGTTTTACCCCTAAAAATAAAGATTGTGTTCTCTGAGCCCCCAAAACACAAAACCCAAGACATTAAAACATGTGAAGACCATAATACCCTTCTCTCTCTCTTTCTTTTTTTATTAAAATATGATGAGGATTATTTTATTATTTCTCTCTCTCTCTCTCTCTCTCTCTCTCTCTCTCTTTATCATGATGTACCAAGAGGATAGTTGAAATGATTGATGAGGATTATTTTATTATTTTTATTTTTTATTATTTTCGTTGTTTGTATTGGGAGGTTGTTAAAGATACAGGTTGATTGTTAAAGTTACGGGTTGGTTGTTAAGGTTAAGGGTTTGTTGTTAAGGTTATGAATCCTCTCTCTCTCTCTCTCTTTCTTTTTTTATTAAAATATAATGGGGATTATTTATTATTTTTGTTTTCTCTCTCTATTTATCATGATGTACCAAGAGGATAGTTGAAATGATTGATGAGCATTATTTTATTATTTTCGTTTTTTATTATTTTGGTTGTTTGTATTGGGAGGTTGTTAAAGTCCAATACAAACAACCAAAATAATAAAAAACAAAAATAATAAAATAATCCTCATCAATCATTTCAACTATCCTCTTGGTACATCATGATAAAGAGAGAGAGAAAACAAAAATAATAAAATAATCCCCATCATATTTTAATAAAAAAAGAAAGAGAGAGAGAGAGGATTCATAACCTTAACAACAAACCCTTAACCTTAACAACCAACCCGTAACCTTAACAATCAACCCGTAACTTTAACAACCTCCCAATACAAACAACCAAAATAATAAAAAACGAAAATAATAAAATAATCCTCATCAATCATTTCAACTATCCTCTTGGTACATCATGATAAAGAGAGAGAGAGAAAACAAAAATAATAAAATAATCCCCATCATATTTTAATAAAAAAAGAAAGAGAGAGAGAGAGGATTCATAACCTTAACAACAAACCCTTAACCTTAACAACCAACCCGTAACCTTAACAATCAACCCGTAACTTTAACAACCTCCCAATACAAACAACCAAAATAATAAAAAACGAAAATAATAAAATAATCCTCATCAATCATTTCAACTATCCTCTTGGTACATCATGATAAAGAGAGAGAGAGAAAACAAAAATAATAAAATAATCCCCATCATATTTTAATAAAAAAAGAAAGAGAGAGAGAGGATTCACAACCTTAACAACAAACCCTTAACCTTAACAACCAACCCGTAACCTTAACAATCAACCCGTAACTTTAACAACCTCCCAATACAAACAACCAAAATAATAAAAAACGAAAATAATAAAATAATCCTCATCAATCATTTCAACTATCCTCTTGGTACATCATGATAAAGAGAGAGAGAAAACAAAAATAATAAAATAATCCCCATCATATTTTAATAAAAAAAGAAAGAGAGAGAGAGAGAGGATTCATAACCTTAACAACAAACCCTTAACCTTAACAACCAACCCGTAACCTTAACAATCAACCCGTAACTTTAACAACCTCCCAATACAAACAACCAAAATAATAAAAAACGAAAATAATAAAATAATCATCATCAATCATTTCAACTATCCTCTTGGTACATCATAATAAAGAGAGAGAGAAAACAAAAATAATAAAATAATCCCCATCATATTTTAATAAAAAAAAGAAAGAGAGAGGAGAGAGGATTCATAACCTTAACAACAAACCCTTAACCTTAAAAACCAACCCGTAACCTTAACAATCAACCCGTAACTTTAACAACCTCCCAATACAAACAACCAAAATAATAAAAAACGAAAATAATAAAATAATCCTCATCAATCATTTCAACTATCCTCTTGGTACATCATGATAAAGAGAGAGAGAGAACAAAAATAATAAAATAATCCCTATCATATTTTAATAAAAAAAGAAAGAGAGAGAGAACGGTATTATGGTCTTCACATGTTTTAATGTCTTGGGTTTTGTGTTTTGGGGGCTCAGAGAACAGATTCTTTATTTTTAGGGGTAAAACGCCCATTGACCAAGTCCTGGGGGTGGGAAGCATGTTCACTTGGCTTTTGGGGGCTGGAAGCATTTTTCCCTTACAATAAACAAAAAAACCTTAATTAAACTCTTTTCGGAAGTCCACTACAGTAGGGTGCATTCATAAGCAAATTCCATAATCTGCATGCGTTTTAATTAATATATGCATCAACATGTATCCAATATATTCGTATACATATTTATAGTCCAATGGTAAATACTTGTATTTTACGAAAAATAGTTACTATGGAATCAGATTCAAATAGGAATATTCATATCAATGAAAGGGGAGGCAGGATTACATATTGAGGGATCCATGTGTGGCTACAACTTGTAGAGCTCTTCCATGTGATTAAACCATCTTTAAAGATTTCTCTATGCATCAATCATCACTAAAAATTAATTAATCACAGATCTTAACATGAATAGAATTTTCGTTAACACCCTAAACAAAGCTATATAACCCCCTGTCAACATATGTCCGTGCTCTTCATTGCTCATTCCCTCACCCACCACCTCAAAGAATACAGAGAACAGAACACAATTCATCAGAAATGGCAGCAGAAAGTGAAGATCTAAGGCTGAGCCTTAGCCTTAGTTCCTCTCAGAGTTTCTTCCCTCTGAAGCTAACGCTGTTTCCTTCGTCGAACGGGCCTTCAAAGGCCCGATTCGTCAATGGTGAGGTCGAGGAGGATGCAGGGGCGTGGTCGCCTGTCAGTACGTTGTCGAGTTTGAGTGGAAAGAGAAGCGAGAGGGACGACAATGAGGGGGATGAAGATGGACAGAATTCTCCAAAGAAGCTGAGGCTGTCCAAGGATCAGACGACGATACTCGAAGAAAGCTTCAAGGAGCACAATACTCTCAATCCTGTAAGCGGTCATTGTCCTGTGAATGACGAACACGTACATCCGAATTTGATTTTTGAATTTACTTTTGAAACTGATCAAGTGGCCTTCTTCATGGTCGATTTGCAGAAGCAGAAGCAGGCATTGGCAAAGCAGCTGAACCTGCGTCCGAGACAAGTGGAAGTCTGGTTCCAGAATAGAAGAGCAAGGTAAAAAAAAAATCAGAGAACTTATTATTGTTATGTTCCCTTTAATAAACTTTAACGCATAAGAATGAAGTTAAAATCGATTTCTACCGGTTAAATACCATCTAATATCTGAAAATGTGTTAATTATACACAAATACATGTCAAATGTGATGTTTTATACCTTCCGACAAATGAAGAAATTGTCTTCTATGAGAACATTGATCCAAAAAAAATTATATATCAAAGAAAAACATTTTTCAGTAGGGTAAATTTCTAATAGAAAAGCTCGTGCCATCTTTGTCTAATCGACCCTCGCAAGCCTAGCTAACTGTTTGATCAAAGATTTAGTGTTTTTCCAATAGCCTTAATAAGA